TTATAGTAGTTAGGAGATGTTGCCGAAATTTCGGCAGAATCTAGTCTAGTTATAGTAGTTAGATTAGTAGATAATTTATTAGATTAATTCCTTAATTCTTTATTTAAATTAGTCATTTTTTTTATTCAATTCTTTCCTTATACTCTTAAATTCTTTATATTGTCCGGGCTTGTCTACTGCTCCTCCAAGTCAAAATCCGAGTTAGAGCTTTTTCTATTTTCTATCACTATGAGTAATAATAAATAGTGCATATCATTATTGCAGATGCATATCATTTATTTTATAAAGAAGTATATATATATATAAAAGAGATAACTTGGTATTTATTTATTTTTATTTTGTTACTAATATATAATTACACCATTATGTTTGTGCATTATGGATTGCTTTGGTGCTTTATGTTGAATAAATTGTTTGATTATTTGTGTTGTGATCTTGTTGTGCCTTGATTGTGTGGGATAGGGATGAAATAGGTCACCATGGATTTGTGAGGGTGGTCTTTGATACCATTAGCCATGTATGGGGAGACTGGCGTCCTCGTATGCATCTGATAATATATGATATGAAAAATCACAGGGTGACTGCCTGTTGGTGTGGAGAGTATAAAAAAAATCAGAGGGCTGGTTAAGTGAGAATTAGACCAGTCGGCCATATAAGGGGATCGGCTCCTTGGTGCACACATTTGAGAGGACGGGCCATGTGTAAGGACAGCTTATCGAGGGTTTCGATGATACCACTGACCAATTTTCACTTTTTTATTATTTGAATGTGTAATTATTTGTGGTTGTTGGTGTTGTGCTATTTGCTTGACGAGCTGTGTGTATATTATAGTATTTTAGGGAGCATTTCGCGTGAATGCCTGTTTTTATGCATTATTTATTATTATTTACTGAGTTGCAAAACTCACTCCTCTTTTATTTACCTTTTCAGGAAGTAGAATCCACATTGATTCAGCTAAAGCTCTGCATTTTTCCCTGCAGGGCTATAAAAGTAAATTTTTAATTACGGTAGTTACTTAAAACATGTATCTTTATAGATACATATCCTATCATTTCTAATCATTATTGAACTTCACAGTTGTAGAATTTATGTACCTCTAATCGTGTATTAAAATAGGTATACAAATCTATGAACTTATGAATTTCTTAACTATTTATCTAAGACATGCATGAACTAGTAGCCCATATTATGAATGAGGTGTATTTCAAATAGGCATGAATTATGTTTTATTTGAGATGTTTGAGATGGGGCCAATATTGTGTGATTACTTGATATATATAAAAGAATATGAGTTTACAGTTCCTAGAAATTCATTTGACATGTATGCATGCTGTGGTTTAGACTTACTACGGGCCTCGAAGGCTTTAAATTTACCTAGTAGTTTGGCCCGACCCACGAATTATGGTAGTGAAAATGACTAATAAGGCAAAACGTCAAATTGAGTGGTCAATTTCTTTCAAATTTTCAATTTAATTGCTAAATGTAGGTTGAAATCAATTGAGCTCTTCAACATTTTGAGTTTGGTAAACTTTCATTAATTGACCCATCAATCACTTAATTAAATTGCCAATGTTAGACAATCCAATGGACTTCAATCAAATTCAAAGAATGAATTGATAATCTAATAATTTGACTTTTGAACTTTTAGTTAATAATAATGTTCTCTCTGTTCTTTTTATATAGGAACAATTAATTTTTTACCAAGATTAAGAAAGTAGTTTAACCATTTTTTTTATCATTTTTTTCTAATTTACCCTCAATATCTCATTTATTTCTCCTCTAATATCAATATATATCTTAAACTATTGTTCAATCATCAATGAGGCTTTAAATGTTTTGTTGGAACGAAAGGAATACAACAATTGCAAAATTGAAGTTTTATGCTCTAGCCAGTAGAGAGAAATTAGTTTTTTATTTTCTATTTGGAAAAGTTGTATGAAAATATGAAAATTTGTGGTTATTTAATTTTCAAATTGCCTTTGGTATTGAAAACGACCTTTAAATATTGTGCAATTTTTTAAATATTTGGTGAAGTCCGCAAGAATTCCTCTCAATGTGATGAATTTGAAAATTTTATGGTCATTTTCTATTCAAACTCCATTTTAATTAGTGCTCATATAATTTATATGAGCACTTTTTTTTTTTCAATGGAAATTGATGTAAACAAATTCATTCTCCAAAATTTATTCACATTAAATGCTCATATATACCTTTGTCTCCCATTTCAGAATCTCCCACATTAAAAGTTTCACAAAGAATTAAAATAAGGATAAGATAGACTTTTCATATTGACATGGTTCTCAAAGTTATTAAATTAGGCAAAATTTCCTATATAAAAAGAATATCCAAAATGAAAACTTTTCCTCTATAAAAAGAACAGAGAGAGTATAAATTACTATTCTTTCAACTGAGCCCTAATGTAAAATCGCAATTAATTTTAAACCATAAATGGTTTTCAATTAAGTCCTAAATTAAACATAAGAAATTGTACTTGCTAACAAAACTGAGAATACCATCTGCAGAAGTCACAACACTAAGATCACTAGACCGTCGATTATAGACATAATCAATATGTTGTTGTGCATTCAAATTGTCGAACGTTTCATTAAATAGATTGTAGTAATGCACATCGATCACTACGTGATTAAGAATGCTTACAAAAGAGAGCAATTCCTTTGGATCAGCAAGTTCTCCTGATCTATTTGAAAGGATCACAAATGCCCTCTGGGTGTGCTTCCTACTGCTTCATAACCTGCTTCCTAATACTTCTTAAGAGTGTCTAGACCAAATTCAGGCGCCAACGGTTCATTCCACTGTAAACCTGGTGAGTAAGCGGAGTCCTTCTCGCTTTCAAGGAAAGGCCTTCTACCGTGAAAAATCTTATTTGTTGCTGCAAGACTTGGATTGTCTTCATATCTGAAGGATGAAAGAAATTTAAAACAATTTCTTATTTGCATATAGTGCATGAATTAATTTAAGAATACATAACCAGATACTATTTATACTGAATCTTGCAGCAATGAAGTCTATAACAGCAACAGTATCCTGAATATTGGAATCCCACCATTCTTGATCTTTTGTTCCGCTTTAGTCATTGCCATTTTGTGAACCTTGAATTGCATGTAGATCAATTATTGCTTTCATTCCATATTTTCTGCATGAAATTTTTTTGTCTTTCAAAATAAAAACAAAGTTCTGTTTACACTAAATCTTTGTATGCTAAAGTTACCTACTCTGCCCATGTAAAAGCATTGTCTTAGGCTTTCAAGGAGCCAGCCACAAAAGGCTTAAGTGGAGGATCACCACCTATTCACCATCCAACAGGAACTCTAACGACATTAAGACCATTGGTTGACATGAATCTGAAGTCCGCATCAGTAATGTAAGAGTCCAAATGAACCTGAAACGGTATTAGATTACTCAATCATTTTTCTCCTTAAATAAACTGCCTTGCAAAATATTTTGTTTATCATCTTGATCATGTTAAATAAGTTTGCAAAAAAAAAAAAAAATTGTGAAGCTGTTAAACTTAGTGGTTTCACCTATTGAGCCTTTGAAGTTTTGTTTCTTTGTATCTAGCACCAGTCTCAACTACATATAGTTCTAATATATGCCCATAAAATGATTCTCACATTGCACGTGCAGGGAAGAATCACGAGCTAAATTAATCCAAAATATTAAAGCATAAAAAATACACTTAACTTCACATCTTGTAACAATTGCATCCCAAATCGAATTTATCCCTCAAGCACCTAATTGTAACTTTTTGAAACAATGGCATCTTAATTTAAAATTGATTAAAATTAATGAATAAAATATATTAAAAACGGGTCTCACACACACTACATAATTGAATCAACCTAATTCATCCCTTGTGTTTCACTTAAGATTTCTATCTCAAAATCCTCACCATTGTTTTCTATCATCTTCAACCCCAGCCCCCTTCTCTCTCCTTAAATCCTTTACGTTCTTTCTAAAATGAAGAAATAAACGTCTTTCAACTAATATGCATATTGATGTTGTTGTTTGTAGAGACTGGAGAATGCAATTAGATCATCGTTGTTTGCATATTCAATGAGTTATTGATTTTTCTTCTCTAGAATTATCTGATTTTTCTAGTATAGATCTGATTGGCTCGTTTGGTCTATTTTTCATAATTACTCTGTAGATTCGGAATTAAACATAACACGATAATCTTCAGAATGCCTTTCCCTAAAATATTAGAGGGGAAAAGTATTAATTTCTCAATTTAAATAGATAAGCTAAAAAAAAAACTCATATTACACATAAGGGACCAAAAATGTCTCACCTAGATATGGCATCGGACATCAAAAGCAATCGTGAATGAGAAACTTCTGCATGGATTGTTGATGTAATATATAGAGCTTATAACACAAATCTCGACATCTATTGCTTTTCACCAAAAACAGTAATTCAGTCAATTAGTTCTTGAATTCCAAGCTAATACTAACAGAAGTATAGAAAAATAAATAATCAGTTCTCATTTTGCCTGCTGCAGGAAGACGACAGGTGCATACAAATTGGATCGGATTTCTAATAAACTGTTGCAAGTAAATTTCCATTTTACATGCCAAAACAAAGAAAAATAAAGGTTAAATCACAAAAAAACATCAACTTTAATGTTTTTGGCAAATTTCGCCAATACTTTTCATTTTATCAATTACTACCTTAGACTTATTTTTTCTTTTCAATTATGATTTTTGTCTAGAGTTTATCAGTTTGTTGCTAATTTGGCTGTTAGTTGACTCCACAACGCGCTAGTTCACTCCATTCTATTAGATTCATACTATTATTCACATCCACGAGCTAGGTCATACTATTAGATTCATTAATCGAAGATTCACATTTATAAATTTAAATTTAAATTATTCAACCAAATAAAATTAAATATCATATTTTATTTAATAATAAACTCTTAAAAGAAAAGAAAAAAAAAAAACCCTTACAAAGAAGGGAAGAAAAGAAAAGATATTTGTTATCAGAAAAAGACATCTGAGTTTATTAAAAGCGAAAAATAAAAGAAAAGGCCAATAAAATTTATTGGTATTAAACAAAGCAAGCATGGTGGAAATCTAATTAAGCTTAATATAGTTGTTCTCAATCATCCACTTGAGGCTCCAGTGATTCTTCGCACACTTATAAGCCCAATAAGCCCATCCAAAAGTTGCACGCCCATAAACTTGTTGTTGGGCTTTAGCAAAATTTTGGTAATCTTGCATGGATGCTCCTTGTAATGCCCATTCTCCAGTCCATTCACCTGCAAAATTCCATTACAAGCTCAAGACTGTTAATTATTATTATTATTATTATTTTGCAGTATTTCTTGAAAAGAAAATCTATACTCTTCATTGCATAAATTAAAAGGCCAAACGAGTGTTTTTTATCCAATTCTAGTTAGAAAAAGAAAAGCCTAAACTTTTTCACATTTGTAATTTTATCCTATTCTAATTTCATAGATTTAATCTTAATTTCTTAATAAAGGTTAGTTGCAATTCTACCTTAAGGTTCAATTGAAAGAAAAAAAACACAATTTTAAATAACCAATAAGGCAAAACGTGAAATCGAATGGTCAATTTATATGTTGTCAATTTAATTGCTAATTTTAGATTGAAATCCACTGAGCTTTTGAACTCATAGACATTAAACTTAAATCGACCTGGCCAGTCGATCTGAAAAATCGATGAACCGGCTGATCCGTGTTGAACCCATCAACTCATACAAACCAGATTGATCTCGACCAATTTTTTGATATCATTAATTTTTATTATATTATAATTGTTTTAAATTATAATTATATATTAATATGTATTATTCATTTTTTATAATCCACTAATTGAACTATTGATCCACTCAATGATACATCAGTTCTTTAATCCAATCAATATCTCGTCAGAGTTTAACAACAATGTTTAAACTTTTTTAAGTTCGGCAAATTATCATTAATCGAGCCATTAACCAATTAATTAAACCCAAAATTAGATAAATCCGTTGACTTCAATCAAATTCAGAGAATGAATTGATAATCCATTAGTTTGACTTTTGAATTTCTAGTTATAATAATACAAATCACTATCCTTTCAATTGAGTCCTAAGGTGAAATTGCTATTAATTTTGAATAATATCTTTTTCAATTTTCCTAAATTAAACGTAAGAAATTGTACTTACCAACAAAACTGAGAGGACCATTTGCAGAAGTCACAACGCTAAGATCACTAGACCGTTGATTATAGATATAATCGATGTGCTGTTGTGCATTCAACTTGGAGAACATATCTGAAAATAGATTGTAGTAATGCACATCGATCACTACGCGATTAAGGGTGCTTGCGAAAGAGAGCAATTCCTTTGGATCAGCAGGTCCTATTCTATTTGAAAGGATCACATATGCACATTGAGTGTGCTTCCTTACTGCATCATAACCTGCTTTATAATACTTCTTAAGAGTGTCTAGACCAACTGCCGGCGCCAACGGTTCATTCATCAACTCAATTGCTGCAAGACTTGGATTGTCTTTATATCTGAAGGATGAAAGAAATTAGCAACAACTTCTTATTTGCTTAGTGCATAAATTAATTCAGATGCTATTTACACTTAACCTTGCAGCAAGGAAGTCTATGACAGCAACAGTGTCCTGAATATTAGAATCCCCCCATTCCTGATATCCATCTCTTGCTGCGCTATGGTCATTGCCATTTTGTGAACCTTGAATTGCATGTAGATCAACTATTACTTTAATTCCATATTTCCTGCATGAAATTTTTGTCTGTCAAAGTAAAAGTCCTGTTATACTAAATTTTTGTATGCTAAGTTACCTACCCTGCCCATGTAAAAGCATTGTCTAAGGCTTTCAAGGAGCCAGCCACAAAAGGCTTAGGTGGAGGATCACTAGCTATCCACCATCCGACAGGAACTCTAACAGCATTAAGGCCATTGGTTGACATGAATCTGAAGTCCTCTTCAGTAATGTAGGAGTTCCAATGATCCTGAAACGGGATTAGATTACTCAATATTTTTCCTGTTATATAAACTGTCTTGCAAAATATTTTATTATCATCTTGATCATGTAATAAGTAAGTTTGCAAATATATATATATATATATATTACCTTTTCACGTTAAGGATTTTTTTATGGCAAAATTCATTAGCAGTAATTTATAAGTTACTAAAAATATTACATTTCTTTGCAAAAGATTGCACTTTTTGATAGATAAAACGTGAAAAGTTCAGTGACATAATTGCGTCTTTTCTTTTCTGTAGCTTCAAAAATTTCCTTGGTAAAAAAAATTAAAAACAGATTATTTAATGACTTTAATTGCTGCCAATAGTAAATTTTTCATCAATTTCACTTTTGTCTAAAAAATTAAAAAAAAAAAATCCTTGAAGAAAAATAAAAGTTTGACTTAATAAACAAATTACTATAAGTTCAAAATGGTTTGATGCTTACCTGCAATACCTGAGGAGCTTTGTCAGGACCATAACCATTTGTAATTTGATATTCGCCGCGTAAGGTATAGACAATTGTCATTAGAAAAACTGATGGATTGTTGTCTTCCCAACCAGTACCTCCATAATCTGCTGTCACTAGTGTCTCTGACTGTGCCTAATTACAAATATTCTTTCTTATAAGCTTTACCTTTAGTGCATGAGTACAAGAATAATAATAATAGCTGATATGAGAAACTAAGGTGCAGGGAGTGAAGGAACTTAAGTTCCATTACATAGTGTCCTTGATAGAAAAGCTTCCTAATTTTGGGCCATTTGACGAAATATACCTGAAGGAATTGGCCATTTGACGCTTGAAGGCGAGCTCGATTAGGATCATCATTTTTCCTTATAATCTGAAATGTTTCTAGCTTTCCCGCTACGGAAGAAACTGCTACTATTTTGTTTCCTTGACTCTCCAGTCCCACAAACTGCTAGTTAAACACTCTCAAATTGAAAAATCTCTCATTGATCCTCCACAACTACATGATAAAAAATATAAACATCAAAACAAGTACAGTTGTTAAGCAATATCAACGGAACATGCGGATAATAGCTTAATGTTCGAGTTTCTGTCTTCTATCTCTTTGTTGAATTGTAATGAAATTTAATATAATGTAACCAAATTCTAATGTAAACATTACACCAAAAGACATGCAGTACATCAATTGCTTAAAGAATTTACTCTGAAAGTTTCCCAGCCAGAGGCAGGGAGCGGTTGGCTACAAGAATGGTTCCGCCTCCCTTTTCTGAGGAAAGAAACATTTGCAGCTTTGTGGACTTGAACTGCACTTGAGTTCCATCCTACCAAAATGGTCAAAATAAAAAATTCATTAAAACTTCAAGAAAGGAAATTAAAAAAAAAAAAAAAAAAATAAAAAATTCGATTTAAACACTTTCAAGAAAGGCTCTTTTACAAAAAAAAACAAGAAAAAAAAGATTCGAATAGTTTTCAGCATAATCTGGCACCTTTTTGCGCCTATTTTTTAACACAAATTAACACGTTAAAAATTATTTCAAGGTTTGAGGTTGAAAAACAAATTAAAAAAAAAAAAAAAAAAGATTCAATAGTTTCAGCATAATGACACTTTTTCGCCTATTTTTTAAACAATTAACTAAAAATTATTTCAAGGTTGAGGTGAACAAGTAATTATAACTACCAAAAGATCTTTGTTGGGGATGCCATCAAATAGTGAAGGTTTCATCCAGCCTTCTGTGACAAGCCAATTTCCCAAATTCACAGCTTTAAAAGGTTGTGCAAGAAAAAGAGAAGGAACACAAGAAAAGAAGCAAAAAGCAAATAGAAGGTTATGGAAAGCCATTTCTTTTTGCTCTTTTATCTGAGAAGAATTAGAAGGTTTTAAGTAAGAATTTGTAGAAGCAAGGGCATGGCTTTATAACAAAAGAAGCAGCATTGACTGGATGGAGGGTTGAATGTAAATTATTTTTTTTCCTCCTTAGTTGTAGTCATGTTGAAACTTCAAATTCAACTAAACATTTACTTTGTTTGGTTAAGAAATGAACTATCTTCCTCACGTTAATTATGGCACTTTTTTTTTTCTCCCATAGCATCTGTCACTTCAAAAATTAATAAACGTTACCTATTTTATTTTGATTTTATCCTTGTTTCTTACAGTTAAATAAGTCATAGAGTAGCTATATTTTTAATAAAAAAAATGTCTAAATCTCTATAAATATTTAGTAATAGCTGTTTTATGCAAATAAAATCAAACTTATATGATTTTGTAAAAACAAATCAAAATTTAATTATCCTACTAAATAAATTGTAATATTAACATTGCGCATCTTCTGGGTTGGACTTTTGATGGACTTTTAATATTGTTATATTGCTTTTAGCACTTGATGTGAACGAAAAAATCACATTGTGGATATAAATGCGAGTTGAAAGAGAGGAGTGTATGACAAGCCATGGCTGACTCCGCTGCTGAGGGATCTCTCCGGCGTTGTGGGACCCACACACATTTTGAAAAGGAAAATAAACGCACTTTGAATAAAGAAAAAAAAAAAAGAGGAAAACGTGGGTACAATAGAAAGGAAGAAAAAAAAAATGTAGAGAGATATATAGTTTCAGGAAGAGTTTCTTAAAATTAATAGAAAGAAAAATAGTGAGAAAATTATTATGGGGTGTTTTTGGAAAACACTTTGAGTGCCACTATTTTTGTATTGCTCTCTTTGTATACCTACTATTTTTAATAGAGATTATTATGGGGTGTTTTTTGGGGAAAGCACTTTGTAGTGCCCACTATTTTGGTGTTATTGCCTCTCTGGCACGTTACCACTAAACTATTTTTAATAGTTGATAAGAATTACTTTGAGTTTGGTTCCGAGTTACTACTGAAACTGATAAGCCTAAAAACATTGAGGAGTGGTGGACCCACTGTGAATTTCTGTATGAACACTTTGAGTGCCACTATTTTTGTATTGCTCTCTTTGTATACCTACTATTTTTAATAGTGAAAGAATTATTTGGAGTTTGTTCCGTGAACGTAGCCTAAACAGTTGAGAGTGAACCACGTAAATTTCTGTGTGTTGCAATATTCATTATTCCGCTGCATTAATTTTCTCTTAATTAATTGAAAAAGCCAAACAAATGATATTAGAGCCGAAGCAAATGGTACCTGAAGTCCAACAAGTGGTATCAGAGCTGATGTCCAACAACTGGTTAGAGCTGATGCCCAACATCCACAGATTTATGATTCAAATGTTGATGATCATATAGAATATGAAAACTTGTAACCTTTATATGCTTGTAAACATTGTGGCATCACGAATTTGAAGGACCACATGCACCCCGTCGCACTGGCAGTTAATTTTTTTAATATTATTGAATTTAAATATTTTAATTGAGTTAATTTTTGTAATGAAAATATTAAGATTTTTAAGTTAGTTATTTGGATTTAAGTAAGAAATTAATCTGCCAAATCAAATTAAACATTTTCAAATATAATAAATTTTTATTTTATTTTTTAGCTATTTAAAATCATAAGATCATTTAATTTAAAAATTTACTAATAGAGTTGTATTCCTTAATGGGACTTCTATTTAAATAGGAAATCATGTAACCAATCAAATTGAAGAATTATTAAAAATAATAATTTCTTATTTTATTTTTTCACCAATCAAAATAGGAGAAAATTTATCATTACTAATTTCACGACTCGTTTCCATCGACCGGACCGGCACTAGCACCCAGGTAAGCTTAAGGCCCTCAAGGCCTGTAATAAACCTGAAACACTAAAATCTGCTATCTCAATATAAATTTCAAACATTCAACCTATATTACTAGGGAAAAAAAAAACCTCAAAATTTTATTATACCTTGGCCCAAATTTATTATCTTCAACATCCTATAGTTTGGGCCCAATTTACAATACATCACGTTCCTAATATAGGCTCACAGAATTATTTCATCTATGTTAAGACACGGCTAAATGTATGTAAATTCTACAACTGCGGAGTCACTAACTATTTGATATACATAGCTTCTTAGCAGGAATTGTATTTATACACGCTACTGTTAAGACACGGAAGCGTTGTCCGACTAAATGTATTTGTAAATTCTGCCTTCATTTTTGACAACTGCGGGGAAGTCGCATAGTCACTTGAACTCACTTTGATATATAGGCTTCTTATAGAGCATACTATTACGATCGACAGATTAATGTATAGAAGCTAGAAACAAGTTTTTCTATAGCCCGTACCGGCTCGAAGAAACATAGAGCTTAAACCGAATTAAAGAAGAAAGCTTACTTCCTGAAAATTGAACACACAGACATGTGAGTTTCTCAAAGAGCTAATAAATTATTGCACACACACGCCTATTCACCACAAATGGTGTAGAACCATTGACTTCAATCTGCTCATCGCACTAGCGTTATTGCTTCACGAGCCAGTCACACAAATGGCTCATATCACCGAGGCAGGCTCACCATTATTAAACATCTTACACATAAGTCCACTATCACGGTGGGAAATTGGCTTGTCGCATCACGAAACCCCAAACGAGCCGTCCTCATCACATGGCTCGCTCTTATCACGTGCGTTGCCAGGAGCAGGGAGCGACCCCATTACATGGCGAACCTTATACCTGATCCAGGTCTAAATTCACGTCCCAGCATTGACCAGCCTCATCATTGTCTATTTCCAATTCTCTCTCTTTGTTTCTCGCATACTAACAGTGAGAGGCAACGCCGTCCAGTCTCCGTCAAATTCTATATCATAGGCGCACACAAATGGAGGCCATCCCTGCCGGTCCCAGCCAGGGCTACCATTACGTAAATCCAGAAATTATCAGGTGCGCCCATAAGAAGCCACCCTTGTGGTTTCTATATAATCCAGTTTATCATCGGTGCCACGGGGGCGCCGATCTCCATTCTAACCGACACCGCTGACTGCTCAATTCCATTCATATCATTATTTCATCATATTCAGGATCCATATCACATTTACTGTCCTTACAAACTCAATGGTGACCCACTTTCATTTCCCCAACTCCACACATACAAGGCATAGCATTATCACATCACAAACTAATCAAGTATTGCAATTTAAATGCAAAGCATAGCAAACAATTAATTACATGATGCAAGATACACAAGATAGACATTTCATAGTTAATTATAATTAAATAGATTATAATTAAATAGAGAAACAGTAATCAACTACATATTATAATAATTGATCCATCGAAAATAAATAAATAATAATAATAACAATAATAATAATAATAACAAAAAAATTAGAAAACTTTTTTTTATTATGTATTAAGTTAAAGAATTAATCTAATAAACCATTTAATTTAATTATTGATTAAGACTGGCCTAGGTCTATAGAAATTTCGGCAAAATCTCTCCTAGAACTTGATCAAACCATAAAATCAGTAACAAATTTTCATCTCATTCGCCATAACCATATTCAACAATCATTCGTTCACTCAATTCACACAGCCCATCCATCGGGCAACCAATCCAACCAACCCATCCGCTTCAGGCTACATATATCATCCATCACAATCACATATATACACTTAATAATTCTAAATCAATTAATTAACAATTTATATTAACCTCCAAGCATGATCCAATGATATTATTAATTGCTCTATAACTATTTACTTGTCTAAGCCTTAAATTATAAAATTATAACTTCTTTCCCTAACAATTTTAATTAAAATTCCTTAAATTAGCCTTACATAAATATTGGCAGGAATTCTTATCTTAATACCAAACCTTCTAGTTGTTAACAACTGTTCATGAAAATATTATTTAACAATATTCAGGAATTAATTTGCATCTACATATATAACCGTAGTTGTAACTAATGTTCATGAAATATATTTAACAATATTCAGAATTAATTTGCATCTACATTATACCGACTGATTCTTAGCAAAATTATATTTGTTTGATTATTCCTTCAAATTTGATTTAATCAACTAATAATTATTAAGTTTAGAATTTATACCGAAAATGAGGAAATTGGTCTTAGAACGTAAAATTGACAATCGGGTGACGATTCCATGATCGACGTGAAAAGGGGATCATTCTGCCTCTCGAGGCCTCGCCGGAGTGTTGCCGGCTGATCACCAGAACGCCGTGCACGGTGGCCGAAAAAATTAAAACTAACCAGAAATTTGCACCGATCGTACCATTCGACTCAAAATTCACCAAGGATTCCATTTCCGGCATTAGTTTGGTGAGATCAGCCCTCTAATTGGACAAAGCAGGCTCGATAGCCGCTTCACCGCCGCCTTCAATGGGACTTCCACTTCACGAGCTCTATCTTCAAAATTAATGGAGGGAAAGTGTTCTGGAGGTCACTAGGAGTCGATTGGGTCCCTTCCCGACGCATGATATCCACTGAACGACGAGATTTCATCAGAAAATCGAAGAGTAGGGGTTTGCGGAAGTAGGTCATATCACGCCACTGGAGCTCCGTTCGCGTAAGAGAAGGCTGGAAACTTAGTCAGTGGCACAAGGTGAGTCGTCCGCCACCTTGTGCTCATCGTGCGGTGGCCGGAAACACATTGCAGGGGGAGAAGAGGAGACTATCGCGCGTGATCGAGGAAGAAGAAGGAGAAGAAAAGAAAAAGAAAAGAAAGAAGAAATAAAATCTGGAAAATCTGGGGCTTCTAGACCAAACCGGTTCGATTCGAACTGATTTGGTCTAATTCAATGATTTGGCTTGATTTTTACTCGATTTGCAGGTTTTCGGGTTTGGTTTGATTGATTTATTTTAATTATTTTAGTTATGTTCCTCAACATTGCCTCATTTTACTCAACAACGATAAAACCAATAGTAATAATGATATTTGATTTTAAGATAATTAATTTGTAAAATAGTCACACAC